TGTCCCTGAAGGGAGCCGCCTCTACTCTGTGCTGCTGAGCAGGCAGTGGAGCTGAGATGCCCCTGGTGAACGACCCACCTCCTGCTGGGAATGCTGCGTGGCCCAGACCTTGCGGTCTAGGTCTCTGGGCTCCTGTGTGAGTAAGGTGCTAGCTCATGGCATGGTAAGGTGAGCTCATCCCAGAACCAGGGACACAGGAAGGATGGGGCAGCATGGAAGTCCAGAAGCTTTCCTGCACCTCATGACCCGGCACCAAAGTCCGGAAGGTTCCTTTTGCCTCGTAACCCGGCACCAGGGCCTTGGGCAAGTGTGGTGGAGCCTCTATCTCCTCACCCAGCTGCTTGCCGCATGTGGGGACACAGAACCCACCAGCCAAGAGCAAATCAGAGACGTTTCAGGCCCAGATGCACTCCAGAGGTTTGTGGACACGCCCCTGCCGTTAGTAGCGCCCTCTGGCCACCAAGTGGAGCCTGCGGGAATGTGTTCCAGGAGAAGCACCATGGACCTTTGGCTCCATCTCCTCCCTCAGTCGGCGATGGCCATGCTCAGAACATGGAGGCGACTGTAGAGGGGTAGAGAGAAGGAAAGGACACTGCAAGTGAGCCCTGAACTTAGTTCCATGGCCTCATAAGACGCTGCTCTAGGACACCACGCTCAGAAACTAGGCCATGCTACGTGCCATGCAAGTTCATTTATCATTTCTAGAAACTGAAATATAGATATGATGGCATTTCAGACATGAGGATTTTGAACCAGACACCTGCTGTCACCACCCAGGGGGCAGGATTCCAAAGGCTGTACATGGAGACCATGCCCTTCCCTTTCCCAAACTCTGCTTGTTAGGACTTACCTCCAGCAGACAGATCCATACGTAGGCAGCTCAAGGGAAGAGAAGTGATAACCAAGGCCTTTAGGTGAGCCTTGGAAATGAAGAACTTCCTATCAGCCTGGGGGATCCATGTTCTGGCTACATTTAGGCCTTCAAGGAGCCCATGTCCTAGCTTTGCTTAGGCCTTGATGGCCTGGACAGAATCTGGTAGAAGTTTCTTGTACTCTGGTGACTTCTACAGTAAACCTCAGGGGAACAGCCCAGCCTCTACTCAGAAAGTGGGCTTAGGTGTGATTGCACATAAGGCAGCCTAGGGGAGAGACATTTGTGCTGGGGCCACACGCAAGGGCTGGAAGCACATGTGCAGCTCCTTGGAGTCCCTTCGCCTACTCTTGGAAGGACAGTGACTGGAGTCCGAAGTCTAGTCAGAGCAAAGAAGTCCGTGTGATGCATGCTGGTGGGAGAGTAAATCCATGTGAAGATTTCTCAAAGAACTAAAAGTAGGTTCACCTCTCAACTCAGCAATCCCACTACTGGATATCTACCCAAGGAAAAGTTGTTAAACAATAAAGACACTTGTACTCCCATGTTTATTGCAACACAATTCACCATTGCAAAGACATGGAGTCAACCCAAGTTTCCATTAGCAGTGGATTGGATAAAGAAAATGTGATATATACCATGGAATGCTATTAACTCATAAAAAGAATAACGTCCTTTTTTTTTTTTTAGTTTAAGTTTCACTTCATCGCCCAGGCTGGAGTACAGTGGCATGCTCGTGGCCACCCTAGCGTCGATCTGCTGGGCTCAGGCGATCTTTCCGCCTCAGCCTTCCAAGTAGCTGGAACTACAGGCACACGCTTCTGTGCCCGACTAATTTTTTGATTTATTGTAGAGGTCTCTCCAAGTTGCTCAGGCTGTTCTCGAACCCGTAGAATAATGTCTTTTGCAGTAACTTGGATGGAATTGGAGGCCGTGATCCTAAGTGAAGTAACTTAGGAACAGAAAACCATATACTACAAGTCCCTCTTATAGGTGGGAACTAAGTTATGGGCCTTCAAAGGCAAAGAGAAGTGTCCAATAGATACTGAAGACTGGAGGGGGGACAGAGAATGAGATGAAAAACACTACTGGGTACAATGCACACTATTGAAGTGATGGGTAGACTAAAAACTCAGACTTTACCACTATACAATTCATCCATGTTACCAAAATCCACGTGCACCCCTAAAGCTATTGTACTAAAAAAATGTAATTGTAAAAAATGCATTAAAAAAAAAAGAAAGAAAGAAAATGAGATGTATGGGATGAGATGAATGTTGGATCATTACCATTTCCTGGACAATTTCAAGAAATGGCTGATCTATCCTGTCTGTTTTTAGTAAGTCATACTGTCTTTAGGATTGCAAGAATTGTTTGCAGACATTAGCACAGAAGAAAAGCTAACAATCTGATTGCCTGGGGTAGTGCAGAAAGACAACTTCTCAGATGTTTTCAGAGTCTTGGATACTTTCAGTTTGGACAGTCAAGGCTAATAGAGACTTCCAGGTGCTGATCTGCCTTATTAGGAGGAGTTTGTCCTCCCCTGCATGGCTCTTGTTAAATCACAGTCACACACATCAATGAGTTCTTTGAAGCAGTTGATCTGTCTACATTTGTAGCACCCGCAGCTGAGTCCCAGAAGCCTTCTAAGTGTTAGGGTAACCCACACTCTCTTTCTCTGGGCCTCATGGACACTAATTAGAAAGAGAGTAATTAGGCTACCTGCTCTCTTGTTCTCCACCAAAGAACCACATTATTTTAGTAGGATGCCATGGCTCATGCCTGTAATCCCAGATTCTTGGAAGACTGCTGTGGGAGGATTGATTGGGCCCAGAAGATCGAGGCTGCAGTGAGCTATGATGGTGCCACTGCACTCCAGCCTTGGCAAACAGAGCAAGACCTTATTTCTAAAGATATTTTTTTTAAAGGCCTACATGATGGGGCTCCCTACTAGGAGACACTGCGGGGCTCATGGGCCCTTCTGATCCCCAGTTGTAGCAGACAGAGCAGGGAGGAGTCCCATCTATGAGTGTTGATCTTGATTTACATCACTTGCTTATAGTTATATAATTTTTTTTGGATTTGCATATGTTTTCTCCATCGTCTGTCTTTCAGGCTGTCTTCTGCTGTTAAGTATATTGATCATTATTGATTTTTATCTGTTTGCTATTTTCACTTTCATTTTGGAGAGATGGTTGGACTGGATCCCTAACTCTAGGTTGATAATTATTGCTTCTGGAAATACTACTTCTCTGGGCTCATTGTTGAAAAATCAGCTTGTGCTTGTCATTTCTTTGTAGATAAACCATCTTTTCATTCTGACTGCTTTTAATGTGTTTGTTACCAATATTCTGCAGTTTCACTACTGGCTGTCTAGACTTCCATTCCTTCTTGGTTTGTTTGGGTAATGTTGTGCCTCTTATTCATGGGTTCTTGTCATTCATTAGATCTGGAAAGTTCTGGGTCATTTCTCTTTAAGTCTGACTTCTCTGTTTTCTTGATTCTCTCTTTCTGGACCTCAGTGATTCAGTAAGATATGTATATGACCTTGACTTTCTATTCATCATATCTCTTAACTTGTGTCTCATGTTTTCTATTCTTTTTTCATTTGTTCTCTCTTTTTCTTTTCTTTTTTGAGTCAGCATCTTACTCTGTCACCTAGGCTGGAGTGTAGTGGCATGATCACAGCTCACTACAGCCTTGATCTCCTGGGCTCAGGTCATCCTTCTGCCTCAGCCTCCTGAGTAGCTGCAATTACAGATGCACACCACCACACCTGTGACTTACTTTTTTTTTTGTAGAGACAAGGTATCACTATGTTGCCCAGGCTGGTCTCAAGCTCCTGAGCTCAAACAATCCTTCTGCCTCAGCCTCCCAAAGTGCTGATATTACAGGCATGAGCCACTGCACCTGGTTCATATTTTCTATTTTCTTATTTCTCTGTGCTACATTCTGATAAATTTCTTAAGGTATATCTTCTTGTTCATTTATTTTATTTTATTTATTCATTTATTGTTATTATTATTAATATTTTGTAGAGGTAGGGTCTTGCTATATTGTCCAGGTTGGTCTCAAACTCCTGGTCTCAAGTGATCCTCCCACCTTGGCCTCCCAAAGTGCTGGGATTACAGGTGTGAACCACTGTTCCCACCTCATTTACTTTATACTCAGCCGTGTTACATCAAGTGGTTCAGTTTGGTTCTTTCAGATCAATGTGGCCATCCTTAGTCTCCTGTCGCTCACTCATGATAATGGGTTCAACATGCAGTCCTTTAAGCACTCTGTGTAGACTGGTCTATACTCTTGTCTGATAATCCCAGCATCATCAGCTGTTGGAGGTCTAAGTCTGCAGTGGCTTCTTCTGTGGACTCACTCACTGCGCCTCCAAGTGTCCTTGGCGGTCTCTGGCTGGGGCTTGTGGTTACCTTCATCTCGACAAACCCAGGGCCTAAACCAAATATGATTTCCTGAGAGAGCTTTTGAGGCTGGTTCTGTGGGAGCCAGCAGGCGGGGGTCTGTGGACTTGTGAATACCTCAGCCCCTTTTGAAGGTCCTAATTCAATGAGACAGGTCTCAAACCCAACCCTGCCCATGATTGATGTCCTGACCTTAGAGCTCAGGTGGCTTCCACCATCAGGGTGACCCAGTCCTTGGCTCACAACTCTAAGCTCTGACTCAAGTCTCCTGAGTAACTGAGACGACAGGTGCATACCACCACACCTTGTGACTTTTTAAATTTTTTGATGAGCCCTGACTCATTGGAGGTGAGTGAGGGAGGGTGGTGCCTGGGGACGCTACATCTCAGAAGCCCAGAAGCCCACCCACTCCAGAGTCTAGCTGTTGTGCCAAGCAGAGTTCAAATGAGCCCTGCTCCACCTGACAGTTGGCATGGCAATCCTGTGGTTTTTGTGACTTCCCTTCATCATATTACTAGACAGAGTGGGCTGGACTCCTGGTGGTTTAGACATGAACAATGTTGAAAACCACCCAGACTTTCCCAAGCAGCATGAAGAAAAGAGAGAGGAGAAGCATAGAAACAACATGCATGGAGAGGGGCTATGTCCTGCAGGTCTTTCCTGTCTGACCCCTCTTTCTGGCCTGTCTAACCCAGTGCTTTCCCTCCAGACACCCGCCTGGAGGAAGATGGCCAGCACCTTCTCCAAGCTGCTGACTGGCCGCAATGCCTCCCTGCTGCTGGCAACCCTGGGCACCAGCACCCTGACCACTGGGTACCTGCTGAACCAGCAGAAGGTGTGTGCTGAGACCCAGGGGCCCCACAGGCCATTCCCTGCCAGGTAAGACCGCCAGGAACAACACCAGAAACTGTGCTCCCCACTGGGTGCTGCTAGCAATGGCCCTTCTTTGTTCCCCTGAGTGTGACTGAGTCAAGTGACACCCACTTTGGGGATGCACAAAGCCCATGGCCCATGTACATACAGGACATGTACTCATTCCTGCCTGAGTGCATGGTCCAGTAGGCTAGTGAAAACAGTGACCATCAGTACTTGTTGAGCATGCTACACGGGGTGTCTTCTTTGTCTCAGCATCTTTTCTTTGTCTCAGGGCTGGAAAAAGTTAAGTCATACCCAAGTTCAAATGGCAAAAACTGCCAAGTACAAGCCCAGGCCCTGGTCTAGACTCTTGCCCCTCTCTACCATCTTCTAGAAAACGTCATGTCATGGCATTGACATCAGAGGCAGTCAGGAAGCAGAGGAGAGGCACAGGTGCTCAACAGAGTCTCCCAGCCCAGGCCTTGTCACAGATGGAACACCATGCGCCCAGCAATGCCCGAGTGGCTGGGGACTTCTAGGGTCCAGATGGGTATGTGGGCGACAAAGTCAAGAAGATGGTGGGGCAGGTCTCAGACACAGTCACAGTCTCCCATGGAAGCCAGGATCTCTGAGGGAGTCCTGATAACCCCCACATGCCTCGGGGATTCCTTGGGGGGAGAAACATGTTGGAGCTGGGGTGATCCTTCTGCCTGTCCACATCCAGGGTGGCCACGCCCATGAATAGTGGCACTGTCCTCACAAGGCCAATGCTGCTCATGGGGGGTGCATGACGGATGAGGACAGAGAATAACTGAATGTCACGCTGACCCCGCCAGCCTCCCCCACTGACCTGAGGGACTTAGTGTGGCTGTCGTTGGCACAGACCAAAACTGGGTTGAGCACAGACCTGCACAGACTTCACCCATCCTTGAACAACTCTCGCCTCCTTCTGCACCACCATCCCTGGGTGTCCACGACCAGTGTCACAGCATCCCCAGGCAGGGCAGGGTCCCTCTTCATGCTTAACCTGGCCATTCCAGTTGTGGCTCCTGGGCAGCTGCAGCCACATGTCCTTGCACCACTGGCCAGGAGGCCTGGAGCCCATCTTCCCTGCTGATGCCTCTGTCCCCACAGTGCTGACTACCCTGATCTACGCCACCACAACAACTGCATGGCAGAGTGCCTCACGCCTGCCATCTATGCCCGGCTGCGCAACAAGGTGACGCCCAACGGCTATACTCTGGACCAGTGCATCCAAACTGGTGTGGACAACCCTGGCCATCCCTTCATCAAAACCGTGGGCATGGTAGCCGGTGACGAAGAATCCTATGAGGTGGGACATGGGTGCAGTGGGAGTGTAGGGTGTGGTTGTGGTCAGAATCCTCCTCTCCATGGGGTTCCATGCTCTCCCAGGAGGGGCACCCACAGGGAGGCGCCTCTGGCAGGGCCACTGAGAGTGCTTCCAACACAGTCCACAGCTCTCAAGACCCAGTTTTCTCTGCTTCCAGGGTCCTCCACATGGGGTTTGGTCATGATGTAAGATGTACAGTGTGTCCCAAAAGACTGTGTGTCCCCAGTGACCATGTGTCCCAGAGACCATGTGACCTAGTGACTGAGTATCCCCAGTGACCGTGTGTGCCCCAAGGAGAGTTGACAGGGCTGTGGTGTTGTGGCTGAGCTGGGGGTTGGGGGTCCATAATGCTCCGGGTGGGAGTTCTTTCCTGCCACTGACCAGACCAAACCCGGGTCCTCTCCTGGTGGGAATGTCTGCAGCCCACCTTCCTCTCCTGGTGGTTGTACTTGCAGTACCCCAGGTTTTCTCCTGGTGGGGATGCCTACAGTGCTCCATGCACCCTCTCTGCTATCCTGTCAGGGGCTGAAGGAAGGGAAGGGTGGGCAGTCACAAGAACAGAGCCATCCCCTAGAACAAGACTGGGCTCACCTCATCATAGCTGCTACTGGGCTCACCTCGTCATAGCTGCTACCACTCTGGGCAAGTCTGGGACCAATCTGGAGCTCCTTTCGCACCCTAAGCCCTCCCCACTCCCCAGTCCCCAGCCTGCAGGCTGCCCTGTTGCAACTCTCTTAATGTCATTTTGCCTAAAGGACATTCTGAACATTTTGTTTTTAGATTAGATTTTGCAGGATGCCTTGTGACCTGGGATCACAAGGTAACCAGGCCCTACCTTGATAGCATTGTCTGCTTTTCTTCTGGGGCAGCTGGGCTTCTCACGAACTTAATATGAAGCCTAAACTTTAGAAACTGACCTTCTCTTGTGAGCCAGTGACCTGTGAGCCAGTGACCTGGCCACTTCTCATCCCACAAGGGCAGAGCCCCCAGGGAAGCCCATTCATAGCCACAGGCATTCAGTCAGGTGTGATGACCAGGAGCCTGGCAGCATCACTAGTGAGGGATTAAGTATAGCAGCCTGGCCTCTCTCTAGGGCCAGATGCTCCTGGACTATTTTTATCACTTGACAACCCACCCTCACAACCCACCCTCACAGCCATGCTCTTGGAATTTCAGACTCAAGACAAGTACTGGGGGGGGGAGGGTTGGTCTTTGTGTAGTAGGGGAGACACTGAGGGGAGAAAGAGCATCTTACATCCTGTCCTGCAGGTGTTTGCGGACCTTTTTGACCCCGTCATCAAACTGAGGCACAACGGCTATGATCCCAGAGTGATGAAGCACCCCACAGACCTGGATGCATCCAAGGTAGGCCACAGCCTCTGCCGTGCCTCCCCAAGGCTGGCCTCACTGATCCCAGGGTGGTGGAGCAGGCGGGGCCCCAAGTTTGATGCCCCTGATGGTAGTGATTCCCTACAGCACTTTCTTGCAGGCAGGCCACGGAGACTGCAGGAAGGTCCCAGAGTGCATTTTCCTTAATAAGTACTTGGGGAAGAGTTGGTTGTGGGACCTTGTACCAGAGCAGTGCTGTTCCCTCTAGAGCCCCAGCAAGGGTGGCCCCAGTGCTGTGGCCAGCCTGCCCTTCACTGACCCCATATGTCTAGGTGTGGGCAGCCAGGATACTGAGGATTTGTGGGAGGAAGCCCTGAGCCTGGCAGACCTGTGGCCAAAGTGACCCCACCCTGCCTGCAGGTCACCCATGGCCAGTTTGATGAGCGCTATGTGCTGTCCTCACGGGTGCGCACTGGCCGTAGCATCCGAGGCCTGAGCCTGCCGCCTGCCTGCTCGCGAGCCGAGCGCCGGGAGGTGGAGAATGTGGCTGTTGCTGCCCTGGGGGGCCTCAAGGGAGACCTGGCTGGCCGCTACTACAGGCTGTCCGAGATGACGGAGGTGGACCAGCAGCGGCTCATAGACGTGAGTGGGAAAGTGGACGGGCCGCTGGGGAGGGGCAGGCATGGGCCTGGTGGCAGATGGCCCCTGCTGGGGTCACAAGGGCCCCCTTCTGATCCAGGAGACCCTTGCTGGTGTCCCACAGGCACCCCACAAGGGCAGAGCCCCCAGGAAAGCCCGTTCACAGCCACAGGCACTCAGTCAGGTGTGATGGCCAGGAGCCTGGCAGCATCACTAGTGAGGGGTGATGCTCACCCTGACCTAGAAGACCCCTGGGAGGTCACATGGACCCCACCCTGACCCGGAAGGCCCCTGCTGGGGTCGCTTGGGATGCACTCTGACCCAGGAGACCCCTGCTGGGGTCACTCCCTGTGAGGAGGGCCCCATTCTATGAGGACAATCAAGCCTAACCCTGCTAGGGTAACATAGCCCCTTCCTGATCTGGGAGGCCCCTGTTGAGGTCACATGACCAAGTCTTGAATCGGGAAGCACCTGCTGGGATCACACAGGCCCTGCCCTGCTGGGAGCTGCTGGCTTCCACTGTGGCTCTGTAGGGCTTCTAGAGGCTCAATATGAGGAAGAAATTCAAGGTTTCCATGGAGCCTGTCAATGGACATATTTTGTGGATAAGCCTGCGTAGGAGCTGGTGAAGGGATGGGAAGTGGATGGATGGAGGATCCTTGAGTTGGTAAATGTGTGGAAATCCTATGTGTGCCTGGTGAATGGTCTCCAGTCACACCCAGAGCAAACCGTGGATGTGGGGAAATATAGCAGGGAGATCCCAGACAAGGCCTACCCTGACCCTGACAGTGCTGGTCTCAGGTTCCTGCTGGTTGACTCCTGCTGCCTCCACCATGGCCTCCATGGTTTCTCTCTGGCACCAGACAGATAAGATCCATGGCCCTCACTTCTTTCCCCCAGCACAGCTGAAACAGGTTGGTAGTTTCCAAAGGAACTATTAACTAAACTGCAAGGAAGACAGAAATAAAACTGTTCTTTTGGAAGATGCAAATGCTATGAAATATGCCCCATTTCCAACCCAGACAGGCCCACTGTGTGGTCCACAGGACTCGTCTCCTGGCCTCTGTGGCTACCAGGCCACTATCCTGCCTGATCACAGAACCAGGCCCTCCTCCACCTCAATAGCCCTCTGCCTTCTGCTTAGGGGATGTGCTGCCTCTTGGGTGGTGATGGCTCACAGTCCCTCCTGGCTCAAGTCTCCGATCACTCCACCTAGAGATTGCAAATGGGTTCTTCTCTGCATACCCTCTTGATTTTTACCTCAGTGGAGTCACGCCTGAACATATGGTGCCTACACGACTTACTGTAGAGTATCCACGCACAGCTGTGCAGGAGTGAGCGGTGCACCCACAGAAGGACATGCAATCTCCTGCCACTGCCTGTGCTGTGTGGAAGAGGGTCCTGTCATGGTACAGGTACACACTTGGGAGTCACAGAGGTCTGGGCTTGCATCTAGGCTCTGCTTCTTCCTGGCAGTGACATTGGATAGGTTGTTTTCTCTCTCTGAATCACAGTTTTCTTCACTTACAAAGTAGAATAATTGCATTTACTTCATAGGCTTATGAAGATTAAAGAAAGAAATTAAAAGAATATAACACTGAGCCATGGTGCACACCAAGTGAATGGTAGTGACTTTTACTTATAGATCATTATTATACATCTATAACACTTTTTAATGAAAGAAATGACAATCAATGAACCACTAATGCTGAAAACATAAAGAGCAGTGGCTATGTAAACAGACTTTCAGGATGGGGCCCTCACCCACTGCCCATTCCTCGTTGCATGGGGTTGGTGGTGGTGTAGATACTCCATAGTGACTTAGCAAGTGTTTCCACCTGGACCAGCTGGTGGTTTTCAGCCTTAGCTGTGTACTAGAACCACCTGAAGAGTTTCTGAATGTCCCATGCCCAGATCACACTCCTTAACACTTAGGACAGCTTTCTGGTGGATGAGAACTGGGTGTTCATGTTTTCTAAGCTCCCAGGTCATTCCAGTGGGCAGTAAGGCTGAGACCATGGCTGAGGTGGCTCAGTCAACACCAGTGAGCTGGGACCCAGGAGGCTGGTGCGTGGACAGGTGTGATCTCACCAGTCCCTCCTCTCTACTCTGTCACCTCGGCCACAGGACCACTTTCTGTTTGACAAGCCAGTGTCCCCATTGCTCACATGTGCTGGGATGGCCCGTGACTGGCCAGATGCCCGGGGAATCTGGTAGGACAGAGTATTTGATGTTTGCGGTGTATTGCGGGGGATCTCTCGGAACGCCTGCTTGTCTAACCCCATGCTGCTGTGAGTTTCAGCTGATAGCATGCCCAATAAGCTCAGGAGCAGACAGACTGCCTGGATGTGTGTGTGTGTACCTAAGTGTGTGTGTGTGTGTGTGTGTGTGTGTGTGTACCTAAGTGCTGTAACATTTCTAAGGTGCATAAGAATGTGAGCTGGTTAGCATGAATTATGCATGAGAAAAAAGACTACTTCGTATTATTTAACCTCATAGATAATTTTTTTCATGGTATTAAAACAAAAGAGCAACAAATGAAAAATAAATCTTGAGAATCTAAGAAAAATCCTAGGAAGAAGGGGATTTGCCTGGTCTATACATATCTTCTCCTGGCCAGCAGTCCTGGTGCACTCTGACCTCTGTGTCTTGGAGAACAGGAGGCCCACATAAATGTGTTCATGAGCAGTGCTCAGTCGGGGTGGACAAGCAGGGTGTACACAGCAAGACATGTTAAACCATGTATGCCATGAACAACTTGACTGCAGGTGAACCTCCCCTCTCTGCTTTTTAAGCACAGGGTTTTGGTTGAATCTATTAGGAGACAAAATATTCTTGTTCATGTCAAAGCCAAATATTATCATAGCTGAATTGTTGGCATCCTAGTCTGAAGAACTAGGGGAACATATTCTTGTTGGGCAAAAACGGGACATCTTTAAGGGTTGGAGTCACTCTTCTCCTTCCTCTGTCGAGGTAACATGATTGTGTGGTCCTTGTTCAGGCACACTGAAGAGATGAGGAAATGAGGAAGGTGAGCCAAAGCTTTGGACTGGAGAGGGGCCAGGAACAGTAACATATCAACACTCAACACTGCACTTCTCTCACCAGGCATAACTACGACAAGACGTTTCTCATCTGGATAAATGAGGAGGACCACACTAGAGTCATCTCCATGGAGAAGGGAGGCAACATGAAACGCGTGTTCGAGCGATTCTGCCGTGGACTGAAAGAGGTAAGGTGTTGTCCGAGATGTCGGAATAGTCATTAGAATATAGTCTCTTTAGTTTTCATTCTCAAAATAAGATGCTATGGCCACTTTCAAAGTGGAGCTAGCTTTTCTAGAGATCAGACACTGTTCTGGAGCGGAATTTCAGAACAGCGCTTCAGCAAATGGGCGACTGTCTCTTACTATTAGAAGGCTCCTGTGCATTCCTCCCCTTCCACAGTACTGGGGACATCTGTGGGTGGTTACTTATTTTCTGATTTCTTCAATATTGCTCCTGGCTATTCTAAGCATAAAGACAATGTAGGATATAACCCAAATGCAGATAGAATTCCTTTGTTCTCCCCCACTATCTTGGCCTGAAAAATACCACTACCAGCCAGCATTTGAATGCTTAGTATGTATGTGCTAGCCATTGTGCTCAGTGTGTTACATGTTCATTCCATTTGCTTGGACTGTTTTAATGTTCTGAGAGGCATTGTTTTCTATGAAAAAGTGCCATAAGTGCACCTGGAACTTATTTATGTCCACTGTGGGGTACACAGGCCATCCCTCTGCAGGGGAGTGAGTGGCCAACTCAAGGTGCCCACCATCTGGTCTCTGTTGCTCCCTCCACCTGCAGGTGGAACGGTTGATCCAAGAGCGCGGTTGGGAGTTCATGTGGAACGAGCGCCTGGGATACATCCTGACCTGCCCCTCAAACCTCGGGACAGGACTGCGGGCCGGTGTCCATGTGAGGATCCCAAAGCTCAGCAAGGTAACATCCTGCAGCCAGCGGGTCACGCCAGGATGCACTCAGGATGTGTGGAAGGAGAAAGGCACCACCTGTTCCCTAGCCCGCCACCTACAGGCACAGGAAACTGACGAGAAAGCGGCATCTGTATAAAATAAAGGCAAAGAGGTCATGCGACAGGGATGAGGAAGGGTGGCTTCAAGAATACGACCTTCTCACACCTTGTAGCACCTCCTTCCACACCTTTCCTGCCTCTCCCAGTGACAGTCTTTGCCTGGTGATCCCTGCAGGGTCTGTATTCCTCCCGCTTGCAGGAGACACAGAGATTGTGGCAGAGACTGTCCCTCCCCAGTCCCTTGCCAGACCTCGCCCAGTTGTGAGGAAATAGCATACAGGGGTGCGTGAACACGCAGGTCTGGGTCACATAGGCATCCCCTCTGTGCATCCCATCAGCAAGATGTGGCGGTAGTCACCCCCTCAGCTCCAATGGGAAGGAGAAGGAAAGTCTAGTGGGAGCAAGCACATCTGATTAACCAAATACAAAGTCATTTTTGAGAACATGCTTCCTGCCAAAAGAAAGCACGAGCAATTTTGTTATTCAAAACTTCAATGCTAAGAAAATAATTTGAAGTGATGTAAAATAATTTGAAGTGATATAAAATAATTTGAAGTGATGTATCAGAATTTTAATGATAACAATGACAGCTGTTATGTAGATGGGTAATAAACACTCCAAAGCCAGCATCTGGACACCAAAAAAAAAAAAAAAAAAGACAAAGAATGTAGAAATTACAAACACACGGTTAGAGTCAGACACTAGGCTCAGTGGCAGCTCTGCCACCTTCTTGGTGTGTGACCTGACAAGTCTGTGTCTCTGAGACTCTGTTTCGTCCTCTGCGAAATGGGGTGGAGGCACTGCTGGCCTCACTGGGTTAAGACTGAAGGTTTCCAGCGCAAGGTAGAGAAAGGCTTTATTGCCACTAACCACCGGGATGCTTTTGGTCTTTTCCATGTGGATGCACCATTGATGGCGATCGACTGCACCTCCCACACTAAGTCTTCCCCTTGTCCTAGGACCCACGCTTTTCCAAGATCCTGGAGAACCTCAGACTCCAGAAGCGGGGCACAGGAGGTGTGGACACGGCTGCAGTGGCCGACGTGTATGACATCTCCAACATCGATCGCATCGGCCGATCGGAGGTAAGGCCTCTGTCTCCTCATGTGAGCTTTCAAGGCCAGCCTAGAGGGGGAGAGACGGAAAAGGCCTCAACAGCCTCCTATTACCGCAAAACTTGAGGCCCCCACTTCCCCACTATGTCCTGAGTCACTCCAGCATCCTGTGATTCACACAAGTGCTCCTCTTCATGGGAAATACCTGCATTTAGGTGACCACGTTGTTACCTGAGGACTGATAGGCTAACCCAGTCAGTTAGAATATATGTCTAGGAAAGGAATTCCTAAGTTAACTATCAGGGGGCCTATTATGACCAAGTTTTCTACCAGAAGACACACATGAAGATAGACTTCCCTGGCAGTGGATGAGAACCCCTTCCCACCTCGTGCTCACCAACACTGGGATGAGTAACTGAATAATCAGAAAATGTCTCATTAATGAGCAGTGACCAGCTTTCTGTTGCAGCCCTCTCTGGGGTCTCAGTTTCCTCATGCACATGAAGAGATGGGGAGGGCACTGGACATAATCATGCTAAGACACTCAATGGTCCCTTCTATCCCAGCTGCTCCTTCCAGGATGACATTATGTATTTCAGGGCTATCTGGAATATGCTCATCATTTACTGTCTTGGTTTGGGCTTTCCTAGGAGCAGTGCGAGTCATTCATTTGGAAGGCGATCTCAGGAAAACAATCATAGGTTGATGTACTCTAGTTAAGAAAAAATCCGTATTTGGAATCCAAAGCTCTAACCTATTTTTCTTAAATCAAGAATTTTAGAAAGTATACCTTAATATAATTTGCAAGGCTTCCTTTAATTAATAAACTTGCATGGCACAGTGCAAACTTGACTTAGTTGCCAAACTTTTGACTTTAGACATTTTTTAGAAGGACACCCATCGTGTAATGATGATATCTGGGCCTCAACATACTCCATGCTCAGACAGCTTAGTGGCAGGCCAGGGTTCCAGTCAAGGCCAAAGAACAACACAAGGGTGTCACTGGTGTCTCACTTACAGACAAACTCTGAGATCTTACAGCAGAAACCAATGGGGAAGTGTCAGGGATGCAACCTAAGGTTTTGATAGGCAAAGAATGTTTTCACGTGTCACATACAAGGTGGTAACCCATCTTAGCTGAGGAAAGACAGAGAGAAACCGTTGGAATAGCCTGAGAAGGACCTCTGGACAACCCGCCTCTCAACCCTTTAGGGAAACAGTGAGAAGACGTTGCTCTGGTCCACCTAGTGAAGTGCTCTCGCTCATTTCATACTCTTCCTGCTGGTCAGTGTTCATAGTTGTCTCCTGTTCAAATTGTCATTCATCTTCTTCACTATCAAAGGTTGAACTCGTTCAGATCGTCATCGATGGAGTCAATTACCTAGTGGACTGTGAAAAGAAGCTGGAAAGAGGCCAGGACATCAAGGTGCCACCACCACTGCCTCAGTTCAGCAAGAAGTGAATGTTCCCTTTCCCAATTCATAATAACCTGTCTGCTGGTATGACAGATGTATAGAAGTCTCTACTCTGAGAGTTTTTGTAGACTTGGAAAGATGTAAAATTGTAGGTCTTGCCTATCTTCACAATAAAACTCTCCTTAATATCTTTGGTTTATTCTCTGATTTTTAAAATAAATTTGGAAATAAGAACTGGAATAATAATAATAAGGAGGAGGAGGAGGAGGAGAAGGAAGGCAAATATCCAATTAGAAGACATGGAGACAATTTCACCAGGAAAGTAGAACTCTCTACTTACTTGCACATTTAGATATCCCTCCAAATGTCTAGATGTTAAATCTAGCCAACCCTTCACAGATCCCTTAGGGACACCACTGGGAAGTGGGAACTAATATAATAAACATTTTCTGGCCAGTGGAGGAAGAGGAGACGATTTGTCTTGAAAGTGTGGTAGTCAACAAAGATGATACAAATGGGAACACGTAGGCTACTTGCTGATTCCGAGCTTGCTACATAAGGGAGTCAGCCTCTGTCCTTGAATTTGGAGTAGGCTAGAATGCAGGCAGGGGCATGGAGGTTGGTTGTTCCCTGAGTCACAGGCCACCTGGAGGGAGTATTCTATGTGGTTCATCTGGGAAACTTGGTTTCATCTGTGAGGTCCTGAATTGGAGGCAGGAGAAAGCACTGGGGAAGCTGGCCATCACTGGCCATGTCCCGATCACTCTGCACTGCCTGCCTCAGAGCTGTGGTTTTTGGCTTCCTGGACTGGTTGCTGTAGAGGTTGGGGCAAGAGTTCTGTTGTCATATATTGTCTGGCCATTGTCCATGTGTATACTCAGTCTCTCAAAAACAATTCAAAATTTGCTGTCTGCAATACAGAATGTTTTCATATAATCTGAAAGCTAGATTCTTCCCTCGGCATGCAGATCTTACCTCGAATCTTGTTTTTTCCTATCCCTCCTGCGGTGTCAGTAATCTAAAGGGATGTGATGGAAGAGGTGGGAGCAATTTGTTACATGACAAGTTATGAAACTGCTCCATACACGAGACCACTATTGCTAACTTGAAGCACAGGAATGAGATTAAGCTCTGCTTTCTGCAGTGAGTGAGTCCTGCAGTGCCACAGGCAAGATACGTCAGTGCTGTAAGCCAGCATGCCTTCCCTTCTGCTATGCTGAGAAAAATAATGTATGAAAAGAACACAGTTGTGCTGGTGCTAATAGGGACTACCTTAACTTGAGTGGCAAACTGGCACATGGTAGACATCTGGAAGAGGAAACCATGCCAGTATAACTTGAGACATCCAGCTAAGTCCCCTGCATGGGAGGGTGGAGGGCTGTCCCACCAGCTGACACCTGGAGACACACGAAGGCTTGCAGCATCAGAGCACAGAGGGATGAAGGGTGGGAAGACTGTGGTGTCATGGTCAGCACCTAGACTCTGCAGCCACATTGCTGGGGTCCAAATCCCAACTCTCCCACTATGTGGCATGCAATTTGACCTCTAGTTCCTTTGTTTCTTCTATGTAATATGGGAACATTGATGATTCCTTTGTTCATAAGTGGTTGAAGGATAACATCAAACAGAAATGTTCAACACAAAGGACTGTGTATTTGCTGAATAAATAATACAAATCGAGAAATCACGACTATCATATTGTAATCTTTCTCTGAATATTCTTGAACACCATCCTTCAGGGTGAGCCAGCAGGACTGATGGCCCCTTCTGAAAGGCTGTGTGAGCTAAGTGTGAGTGAGGGAAAACTCCTACAGTTGCAGGAACACAGGTACAAGCGACACCACACACCAATGCTGCATTTTTCAGAAGAAAGCTGGAAGACAAGCCTAGCACAGAGCACACAGCCACCAGCACAGCAAGGGAGCACTGGGCCATGACTCCACAGCATCAGCAACAAAGATCAAATGAGTGTCGATGATATAGAGAGTGCCAGGCAACAGCTCCCTCCCTTTTGCAATTTTATATAACTCATTTCTCACCCTTAACCTTTACTTTAAATCCTCAATAACCACACTGAGATTTGCATTCAGTGTTAGCTTGCTCACAGACTGTCAGTATTTCATCCCTGATGTGTGGGGCTATTTGACCTTTGAAGTACCACCAGGAATGCACTCGTTTGTGACTTTACTCGTTAGGAACAAAATACTCATAATAAGAGACAATTATTATTTTTTGAGTTGGAGTCTCATTCCGTCACCCAGGGTGGAGTGCAGTGGCATGCTCATGGTCACCCCAGTGTCAACCTCCTGGGCTCTGTTGATTCTTCTGCCTCAGCCTTCCAAGTAGCTGGAACTACAGGTACATGCTACCATACCCAGTTAATTTTTTTATTTATTATAGAGACAAGGTCTCACCATGTTGCCCAGGCTGATCTCGAACCCACGGACTCAGGCAATCCTCTTGCCTTGGCCACCCAAAGTGCTGGGATTACAGGTTTGAGCCACCATGTCCGGCCAAGAGACAGCTATTACACCAGGTCCACACTGGATGCCTGAGCACTGGATCCGGTGCCTCGCTTTTCTTTGAAATCCTCCTGACAGCTCTTCAAACAATTTTCAGATTACGTAAAAGCACTTAAGTTGGATACAAGAATATCCTTCCCCTTGAACAGTGCCAAGCATTTTAGTGATGTGGCCCTAGTTGCAGAAGTTGTGGTAAATCTTAATTTTATCACAAGAAAAAGGCACACTGGCAATGTTACAATGAAAATCAAAGAACGTTTATGTGAAGGATGCATCTGCTGAAAGAGGCAAAGGGCCTGGCAACCAAGAGCTAAAATCTTGATCGAATGCCCTGTCTCCAGCCAAAGCAGGCACACAGCACACAAGCAGCCCCTGCGGACAAAGGCCTTACTCACCTGAGACTCATCTGCAGTGCTCTGAACAGGGCGTTGTTCCGGGTCAGAGGCCTTTTCAAACAGAACACATTCCTTGCTCCTGAGGCAGGCACATTGGGACAGGCCTTGGTAGCTGGGAACCATCCAGCTCTTCCGTGGGGAGAGAACCAAGGGTCTCCACCTGATCTTCCAGCCACTACATCAAGTCCATTCATGGAGACTGAGCTACTCTCTCTTCAGGCTCATCATAAAAAAGCCTGTCAAAATGTTCTGCAAGCAGCCAAAAGAAGTTGTTTTGAGGACAAAAGATTTGCATTAAATTCAGGCTTAGCCACTAAGTAGCTATATGACAAAAAGCAAATTACTTAACTCTATACTCTAATATTCTTAAGTCCTGGTTTTACCTGTAAAATGGAGACAATTTCTACCTTACAAGGTTTTTTATAATGATTACATAATCTAACAGTAGCTGACATTTTTTCTTTTACTTTCTGTGAGAATATATTTTACATTAGAATCAGTACACACCTACATGAATATGCAAGTGAAGATATGTAAAATCCACATGAAAGTTTCATGTAACAAAATTTACTATTTAAAATATTCTCTGATATTTTTCTATTCTATATATTTTACTCTCTTCCAGTTTAAAAAATTTAATTGTAATCCACTAAATTGATTTGACAACATATTAATGGGATAAAATTCAGTTTGGAAAGCATGAACTTAATTACATTAAAAACATTGAGCTAGGTGTGGTGACTCATGCCTATAATCCCAGCACTTTGGAGGCCAAGGCAGAAGGATTGCTTGAGCCCAGGAGACCAGCCTGGGCAACATAGCAAGAACTTTTCTCCACAAAAAATAAAATTAGCCAGGTATGGTGGTGTGTGCCTCCTAGTCTACCTGGAAGGCTGAGGCAGAAGGATCACCTGAGCCCAGGAGACTGAGGCTGTGGTGAGCTGTGATCATACCACTGCACTCTAGCCTAGGTGACAGAGTGAGTTGATGACTCAAAAAAAAAAAAAAATATCGTGGTCATCATACATAGCACAAAAGTTTCCATTTTAATCATTTTAAGCGTACAGTTCTGTGCATTAAGCACATTCACACTGCTGCATGACCATCACCACCATCCTAATGTCAGCACAGGATATGTGGCAACCCTCTGAGAGCTCTGCACATACATCCAGTCTCTCTCCTCCACCAAGCCACACCATTTAGAGACCTAAAAGCCCAACGCAACTGAGACTCCTATTTGAAAGTTCACCGGTGGCTTCCGTATTTACGTGCCTAGGCACAATGCCACAGGTGCCCTCCATCATTCACTCCTTGGGGAATTATTTGCATATCTGTCTCCTCCACTAAATGAGACTCCTCTGGGGGCACAGACTGTGTCCAGTTCAGTTTCACACAGCTCACCACCACACTCTCCATCTTCCAGAATAGTCACAGACAGGACTCTGAACATATTCTTGGGCCATCAATATTTCTTAAAATATTTGTGGGACCCCTTTCCCATGATCATTGATTTGCTACTTTTTTTCCTGCTATGGGGTCCTCTTAAATTAATTCATCCACAATAATTAATTACTGTTTTACCTAGAAACTTATGGGTAGGTTATTTTATATAGTAGTCACTAAATCTGTATTAAACATTTGTCACTTATGGTACTGGCAAGCCATAGATATCAGTAGATACCCACTTTATGGCATTCCATTTGTCACTACAGGACTTCCCACTGCTCCCTCTGAATAACCAGCTATGGCCCACATCAAGTATGGTTTTCTCAGACACAGGGAGGGAAAGGCACTCGTTTCAGAGAGTAAAGAGAGCTCCAAATCTTGCTACTTACTTGTAATTTAGATTTAAGTATTCACTTGAAGCACTTAACACCTAACCACAAAAAGCATGATTAGGAACAGGAGAGACAACAGAAGAGGGTGACAGGGAAGTCAGAAGAATACATCGCATCTGTAGTTAGTGTTCCAATGCTATTCTGTGTCATGTTTAAACCACAAATATGAACAAGATTCAAGTTTTTCAGTGGTGAGCACACACTTTACATTGGTCCTATTGCTTACATCTTGGCAACCTTAAGCAGCTTCCACTAATGAGGTTCTCCTGCTAGACACTTAGGATAGATTTTCTTTCACTTTGGAAATAAAACAAAAATAAAAGTCATGTGTAACTTTGTTATTGGATGAGAAACTAACAATGCAAATGAAAATACAGTGCTACCTCCTGTGCAAGTCAGGTAACAAAGCTCTGTCACCAGAACTGTGTGCTATG